TGATATAACTGGTCAATAAGGATATACTACCACTTGTTATACTGTAGAGAAGGATAGACTAGCTGAGATACACGAGGAGCTACTGATCACTGGATTTACTGAAGGGAAGTGGTTTGAGTTTGAACTGAAACTGGGTATGAGTCTACAGACGTTGAAAACTATTGAAACAGACTATGGAAGACATGTATAGAAGAAATGTAAGTGTGGACATACAAATAAATATATACCGGTAGATAGCACGACGGTGAAATCAATTATAGGAACGACCTGGGGGCTTCACCCCATCATTAATAATGCTTTGTCTTCTTTGAGCTTCTTAAAACTTCTGTAGCCTCAGTTAATAGCTGCTTCTTCTTTTTGTATACAAGTAAAACAAGTATAGAACTAACAGGACAGCTGGATTCACCATAATTATTGCCTTCACTTGCTTGACAATTGAGGTGTCCGAAACGGCCTTCTGGTGCTGGGCAATATATCAAAACTCACGATATTTAATTGAAATAATGTGGTATCGATACTTATCAATATCAAAAAATTGGAAGGAAATATCAACAAAACCACACCCACAAAATGGCTACATGACCTTAATAAATGGTTAATTAACTATAGGAGTAACATCTTGAAAATTACTAAAATGTATTTTCTTGGAAAGTAGATGTAGCAGCTGAAGTATGTGAAGCCAAATAAGGTTTTTATAATGCTATTCAATAATAATTGTTCTCAGAAATAGCTTTATTTAGCCGTTTTAGTAATATTAAAGTTAATGGGTGTGGTTTAATAACTTATCAATAAAAAATATCGATATCTTCATTTTTAGGCAATATCGTATCATATCGTATCGTTTCAAAATTTTCAATATCGCCCAGCACTACGACATTCAAAATTTAAGATCCACTCAAATTTTGACTGGATTTTTGATCATATAACATTAATAAATAGTATCCACCATTTTTTAAAATTAGCTAACCATTAGTTATCTTAATTAACTATTAATGATGGTTAATTAACTATTAATAATGGTCAATTAACAATGAATAATTGCCACTCATTTAATAATAGCAGTTAATTAACTATTTTTAATGGTTAATAAATCACAGACAGTAAATCTCTGAATATTGTGACTGGATTTCCTTGGATTATTGCTTGGAGTTTTTTGGATTACTGATTGGATTTTTGAATTGTTGCAAGGATTTTTTGGATTACTGGTGGATTTCTGTAGATTATTGGATCTTTGTTGGATTATTGGATTCTTTTACTGGATTTTTTTGATTTTTTGGAAAGTGTACCAGATTTTTCTTCATTGCGGACCCCTCGTTGACAATGCTTGTAGTTGACTAGTTGTACTGAAACCACACCCTTAGTTAAAACCATCTGCTCTTTTATCTTATCTAGTATTTACCTAGTTTTGTTTGTTTAGTGTAAACACAACTTTATCCAGTTACTTTACTAAGTAGCTTAAGTAGTTTAAACCAGTTCTGGGGCAATCTGGGCTAGTGTAAACGGGGTTGTATTGGATGTTAAGTCACGCAATAAACTCAAAAATAAAAAAAGTGAGAAGATAAATTTTTATCATGGCTTTATCTAAGGGACCAATGGAGCCACTCTTCAGAGCTGAGAAGATACAGAGAGCACCTCCTGTACTACAAGAAAGCAAATGTATAGCAGCTATTGACTTTGGGACCTCATCTCTATCAGTAGCATACACTACTCCAACTACACAGGGAGTACCAAAAGTTGTACCACTTCACAAAACTTATGAAAGAGTCCCTAATGCTATACTTATCGAGAAAGACCAGAATGAACAATGCAGAGTCACTGGGATTGGACATGAAGCACAGAGTATGTACAGTGATCTTCAAGAAGATGCTCAAAATTTCATTTATTTTGAAAGAATAAAAAAATTACTAGAAAGAGATAATGTGAGTAAATTTTTTAATTGTTATGACATCTTCCTATAGTCACTAGATCGTACTACTGAAGTCTCTTCTTTCACTGGTGGCTCTTATTATCTCATTGAAGTTATAGCTTTTATACTAACACACCTCAAGGAGAAGCTACTGACTGATCATCTGAGAGGAGACTACAGACCAACTGATTTTGATTGGGTCATTACTGTTCCTGCTATATGGAAAACTAGAGCAAGAAGAATGATGAGAGAAGCTGCTTATATGGTAAGCTAATATATGGTGTGTATGGCATTATGTTATACAATAGGTTGGTTTGACTTTTAATGGTCCTGGTATAACAAGGTTCACTCCAGTTGATTCTCCTTTACCACGTCCAGAGGAGGTTAATCCTGAGAAGCTATCATTAGCTCTAGAACCAGAAGTAGCTGCTATAGCTGCACAGCATTATTCTGAAGTTATTGGTCCTCCTCCACAGAGATACATGGTAGTTGATATAGGAGGAGGTACAGTTGATATTACTGTACATGATAAGAGTACTGGGAAAGTTATTGTAGTATTACCACCAATGGGTAACACCTGGGGAGGTACTACAGTCAATGAAGCTTTATCAGAATTATTTCAAGAAATATTACAAGATAAAGGTTTCGAGGCCTTTTTGAAATCTGATCCCATTAGTGCTAAGGCAACAATAAATAAATTTTTATACGAGGAGTTTGAAGAGAGAAAAATAAGATTTGGAAATGCAACTGAAGGCATCAATAAAATAGTACTAAGCCTACCATTCACCATGATGCAATTCTATTGCAATGATAAGTTAGAAAAAGCAGAAAATTTTAACATTGATTATAATCCGAAAAAATGCACTCTATCAATTAATTCCCAAGTTTTAGAAGAGAAAATATTCCAATTGACAATGAATAAAATCACAGAGTGCGTGAGAATAGCATTTGATGAGCTAACTGATCATATCGATACAGTTTATCTAGTAGGAGGGTTTGGAGGGTGTCTATTTGTTAGTCAAAAGATAGAAGAGGCTATTGCTCAGCATCGTGGAATGCTTTATGATAATATAGTGTGTCCTGTACAACCAGATCTTGCTGTTGTAATAGGAGCAGTAATGTGGAGGAAAGATCCTAACATAATCAAATCGCGTGTTGCTGATGCTACTTATGGGACAGGTGTTGCTCCTCTATTTAACACATCAATACACGATGAACATTACATGTTCCTTGATAAAGAAGATGGTAAACAACGATGTACTGATGTATTAAGTGTATTTGTACTCAAAGGAGAAGTAATAAAAGATGAAATATATAAAACCACACTAATACCGCTTTATCAAAAAAACACACAACAATCTTTTGCTATAATTATACTGCACAGGTGATGATGGAGTTCAGTACATAAGAGATAAAGAAGGTAAACTAACAGTACGTAAGATTGGTGAGCTAATACTTGATATTCCTAATCCTGGTAATATACCAAGGAAGGAAAGACACATTGACGTATTTATGGATTTCAGTGGTACAGAGATACAAGCAAGGGCTCAGTATAGTATCACTGGAGAAGAAGTGAAAACAGTTTGTGACTTTCTATCAAAACAAGATTAATAGAAATAACAAAAATGAAAGTAACTACTAACAAGACAATACACGTTGTCTACGTACATGTACATGTAATAATAACAATTGCTGTAGTTTAGAATAGCATTAGTAATAGCATTAAAATTAATGGAGTCACTTTTGTGAACATACATGTACAATGTATTTAAGCTTTCTTGTGATTTTAATTTTGCAATTTAATTAATTAACAAAATTATAATATTATGCACATACTGAAATTGCACAAAAATTTCTCAACAAAAACTAGCACCACATGCAGCAACATTAAAAAGTGCAATAGCAAAAGGGAAAAAACCTAAAATAAACTACAGAGTCATTCCAAGTGATCATGATGAACTTATTGCCTTCTCCAAGTCCAACATAATAATATCCATCAAAGTGGCATACCAGTACTTCTAACAAACAAACTATACAAGCATTCAGAAACAGAAAAGGACAAGATCCAAAAAGCTTTGCTCAGAATTTTTCTAACAAAGTGTAACAAGCTACATACATGTACAGTACATGTACATTTGTGTACATTACAACCTTTTGTACGTAACTACACGGACATGCATAAAAAAGGTCTAAAATTACAGTTGGACATTTTCAACTATTTGGTTTAGTTGTCCACAAAAATACATGTACATGTACATGTATGTCATTCTGCCATTTTGTTTGAACAACACAATTTTAATTTTTTTTTATTAATTACTCAACTCAAATTAACCAAGCCTTGACCTTAATAAGCAAAATAATCAGGGGCATACAAGTAAGAAGAACAATTGTAAGGCTACAGTTGTCATTGCCACATCCATTTAAATTAATTTTTTTATTAAAGTATTATTTTTATTAATGCAAAAAATTTAACTTAGCAAAAGTTAGTCAGATCCATGCAAAAATGACTTGCTGGACCAATAATCATGAGTGACCATTTCATAAAAAAAGGCAAGTCAAATCAAGCAATGTTCATACACAACGTTTGAACATTGATTGATGTACATGTAATCTCAAAATTTAATAATAATTAATAACTATTAATAACTATTAGTAACTCACAAATGAAGCAAAGTGAGTATTTCTCCAGTCTGTCATTTCTGTCAGGTCAGGGTCTATAGAGAGACGCCCTTTACCCTTGTTAACTTGTCATACATGTAGATTAGAGACTGTAACTTCCTCATTGAAAGGACTAGGAATATACTCTGACCCCCTTAAGTGAATAATTCTAGACCCTATGCAATGCATACATGTAACTTAAGTACTAGTCATGCCGTTTTAAAATTCAAATAATACGTGTATGTGCACATGCACATTGCATGTACACAAACAAGTATATACATATACCAATTGAAATTTGTACATGTATTTTACAATTACACAATGTACATGTATGTGTATACGTAATAAAATTTGAGCTAATTTCAAAGCCATTTTTTGCAAAAAAAGTAAATGCTATAGTCTTTGCTTTTTTCAAAAATTTGCCAATTTTAAAAAATGGCTATGACATGACTAAAAATTTTAAAGTCAGAATCAGGCTAAACTTTCTACACAGCATTAGGACATCAATACATACACATAGTACATTGTGTACATGTATGCATCAGAATATGGAAAAAATCAGGGGTAATTTCGGAGCAATTTTTTCAGAAAAAAACCATGGGTCATAGCTTTGGGTACCTTTCAAAATTTTGGGATTTCATTAAAACGGTCATAACTTGAAAAATTGAAGTCAAAATTAGCTAAAACTTAGTATCAGGACATCAATATGCAACAAAAAATAAAATTAAAATGTGGGGTAATTTTGAAGACATTTTTCGGAAGAACTATATGTACATGTAGCTTTGGGTATTTGACTATTTTCAAGTGTTTGGGATTTTATTAAAATGGTTGTAACGTGAAAATTTGAAGACAGAAACAGCCAAAACATTCTACACTGTATAACAACATCAATATGTATCAGAGAATGTAATACAAAATTTGGGGTGATTTCGGAGCAATTTTCTAGACTAAGTGATTGTACTATAGTACAGGGGTATTAGTAAAATTTTGCTAAAAATAAAAAGAAAATAATTCCTCACCTTTATAATTTTTTGATACATATAGCAACTGTACATGCACTTATGTTGCGTAGAAAGTTTGAGTCAAAATTGGATTTTTAGAGAAATTTAACTACATGTAAATTGGGTCAAAGTCTCTGTACTATAGTACAAGGTCATGGGTATTGGGTATTTTCCAGAATTTTTGATTTTATTAAAATGGCCGTAACTTGAAAAATTGAAGTCGGAATCAGCTAAAACTTTCTACATACATGTACATGTACATGTAGCACAAGTACATAAATATGCATCAAAAAATGTAATAAGAATTTTGGGTGATATCAGAGTCATTTTTTGAAAAAAACCATGGACTATTCAAAAAACCATGGGTAGTATTCAAATTTTTGGTGCTTTCTTAAAATGGCTGTAACTTGAAAATTTGAAGTTGAAATCAGCTCAAACTTTCTACACAGCATAAGGACATCAATATGTATCAGAAAATTTAATAAAAATTTTGGGTCCTTTTGGAGCAATTTTTCATAAAAAAACATGCGTTATGTATAGGGTATTTTTCAGAAATTGGTATAATTATTTATTTAAATGGTTATAACTAAAAATACAAACATTAACTTACTTTGAAATAGAAGTAGAATCTTCCAATAATTGTCTTTCTGCCATCAACTCAATCAGTTTATGCTCAAGCTATCAATAATTGATTGACTAATAATTAATAACTATTAATAACTACCTTAGCTTTAAATGTATCTGCTTCTAAGTTAGCACTCAATAAGTTCAAATCTTTAGCTCCTCCTCCTCCTCTCTCTCCTCCTTTCTCCTCTTCAATTTTATGTATTTTTGTTTCAAGTTGTTTCCTTAGTTTGCTTTCATTTGATGTCATTCCATTGAATATTGAACGCAGTGTCTCAATACTTTTAGAATAAATGATACTATTTTATCATTCTATAAAAAAAGTATATTCACGTACATGTACATTAAAATTCCCAAATTCATGTATTAATTCATAATTTGACTAAAATTTATGTACAAGTATAAGTCTTTATACTATAGTACACCAAATTTTGCCAAAAATGTAAAGGAAAGAGTTCGCCATTATGATAATTTATTCTGATACATATACAAGTTTTTACATGTATGTTGTGTAGAAAGTTTGAGCTGATTTCAATCAAATGTAGATTTTTACAAATCTTTAAGTTGCTAAAATTTGGCAAAACATAAAAGGACAAACATGTACATGTACATACACTGACTGTGTGTCCTAAACTTGTTGTATTGGTGCCAAACACATAGCTGTACGAGAAACCAGAGGAGGTGGGGGAGGGGCAGGATGACAAGCGGAATAACGTACCTCAATATAGTTTGAGTCTCTGGGAATGTTTTGGGTAAATGAAACACATTTTTCTATCAACACTCTAAATAGTGAGAGACATGGAGATAAAGGATTACATGTACCGTATATCCTTAAATAGAAGCTGCATTTGAATAAACGTCGGGTAGCAATACAATATAACTATAAATACGCAACATTACTCCAGGGTTAACTCAGTAGTCTGGTGGATAATGTCTGAAGCTTCAGAAGTCAAAAGCATGAGGTTACGGGTTCAAATCCCGCTCTGGGCCAAAGTTTTTTATTATTATATATATATATTTTTGAGATCCAAATGCCATTTTAGGAAATAGACGCCCGGGCTTTTATTTAAGGAAATACGGTACATGTACATATGTATATTTACTTTTGATGTCAATTCAATGTTTCTCAGCAAAGTTCTCGTTGAAATCCTAAAATAAAATAAAAACAATGAAATGTAATAATATTAATTGATTCATTTGCTTAAATGGACACGACTTAAAAATTTTAGTTAGAATCGGCTTAAATTTTTTTAATGTAACAAAAATTGGGAATGATTTTGGAGCCATTTTTTGGAAAGAAGCAAGAACTATTATAGTCCATAGTGTTTTGTTACAGGCATGGCTGCCAATAGGCTATGTAGCATCTAGGGCAAAAACTTTCATCGGCCCCTACAGGTTCGGGTACAGGACATATCGTACATGTATTTCACAATTTGACTATTATCATTATTATTATAAAACTCATGTACTAGTATACATGTACATTCAAACTACCTCTCTGTTATCTTGCTGTCATTAGTAACTTCATCATTTTCATCATCAACTTTCTCTGTTCCCTACGGTATAATTATGAAAATTCGAGTGCAAATCTGCTGTTTCAAAGCCACCATATTGAGGCATTTGAGGGTTAAAATAACGATAGATCTAATTGCTCCGTCCAAAAGGAGCCCCTCCCTTGTGATTCCTTTGCAAAATTCCCATCCGGTTAGCTTGTTCTTTGATCAATGGCAACTAAAATCAGTTCTTGTTCTTTTTCTCTGAGTCTCTTCTCTTCTCCTTTGACTATTGGTAATGTTCATTAACTATTTATGTATCATTGAATATGATTTTAGAACAACTTATTGATGTTGTTGATTTATTGGAGAGATGTGATTTCCCTCAGACAAGATGGCATGAGCTGGGACTGAAACTAGGACTACACAAGAACACACTGGACGTTATTAAAAGGGACAGTGTTACAACTTATGAGTGTCTGACAGAGTGTCTCTCCAAGTGGTTGTCCAGAGCTGATAATGTTGACAGTAAAGGAGGAGCTACCTTTGACTCACTGTCAGATGCTTTTAAATCTATGAATGAGAATGCTGCAGCTGAGAAGCTAGATCAAGAAAGTAAGTTAATATCACTAATTGTATTAGCATCGACTGTGTGTGTGGTTATTCTGTTCTATGTAGAACGTAAAGCTAAGGCTCTTGATATATTCAACACTCATCATTCACTCCTCTCTCAGTCTCTCTCTGATCCTGTCAGTGTAGCTGTTATGCTTCAAAGAGAGGGTTTCATAACAGGACAAGTATTGGCTAGTATGGAATCAGTTAGTTCCTCTGTTCCTAATCAACGTGAAGTCCTGTTAGCTGCGGTTATAATAGCTATTCAAAGCAAGTATAGTTTACTACAAACATTTGCTAGTGTGTTGTGCAAGTTCACTGGTAATGTAAAACTAGGAACAGTTATACAAAGAGACTATGGTGAGCTAAAGAATTATTGTTAGTTTTATCTCAGTTTTGATTTTAGATTTGCAGTTTTCTACTGACGAATTTGTTAATATTAAAATGAAAGAAGGTTTAATAATATTACTTTTTATTAATTATTATTCTTTTTAGATTCAAGCACTGGAACAATCACACCATCATCACCTCGCACACCAACTGCACCAACAGGTACCTCATTAATGATTGAAATAGTTAATATTATGATTAATTCTTAGTTGAAATTTCTGTTCGAAAGAGTAAATCAAGAGAATTCAGTTCAATAAGAGCTTCACTTGCTAGAACGCTATTTAAAGTGTCCAAAGCTATCTCACAGAAACCTCCACCTCTGATTGACCTAAAGTCTCTCATTTGTCTCTTTAATTCTGGTCTAAAAGGAAAGCTAGCTGAGTGCAATGATATATCCAGTGTAATGTATGCAATTGAAGGAGAGTGTTCATTGACTGATATTGAACTGTTAGAAACTGTAGTTGAAGAATTTGAAGTCACTGAAGCTAAAAAATACATCAAACATTACAAGACAACACTGGAAGAGTTCTGTCATTCACTGTCGATTGATCTTTGCTTGAAGGAAAAGTTTGATGCTGTCAATATAAGCCCTTCTCTTAAATGTGAAACAGCAACTTACATCTTTGACTGGAGACCTGACAAGAAGAAGTTAAAAGATATTACCGACATTCTTTCCAAGACGTCTGGTAAATTTGTGAAGATAAAGTATATTGATACTGGATACTCCATTGTGGTCACTTGCTCCTTCCCTCACTCTCTCACTGGAGCTCTCATTATAAAATTGAGTGAAAATCTTGAATTATTAATAAAGAATGGTCTAATGAAGCTTACTGTTGGATACTGCACAATATGGAACAAACAAAAGATACAAGTATGTGTATATATACTGTTAGTAATTATCATTATAATTATACTGTATTATAAAGGAAATACAGGAACCACTGGAAAAGGAGGTACAGGAGATAAAGAAACAACCTCATGATACAAAGGTATAATAATTTGTGTTTGATTATTTTACTACATTAACTTAATAGGAAGAGAGAGTAGCAAAACTGGAGGAGAAAGAAACTGAAGGAGCAACACCTCAATCAGTAATTAATCAAGGTATAATAATACATTAATTACTGTATTGGTTGTTGACCAGTATATTAATGGATGAATAATTCTTATATTTCAGATATACTCTCAGCTGATACAAGTATGACAATAATTAATAGACAATTAATAGAAGACAAACAAACAAACAAACAATTAGAAAAAACACTAACAAGTAAGCATAATAAAACATTATTGATTATAATTAAAATAATGTAGAAATTAGGGAAAAGGAAGGTCAACAACTTCTGTTGTTAGCAAAGGACACTAGTTCAAGTAGGAATTTTATTATTATTATTATTAATTTATTATAAAAAGCAAAACCAAAAAACAAAACCAAAATTATTATTATTATTATTTAAAAAAACCTAACGGCTTTAAACAACATAAAAGAAGGGGAGAAAAAGAGCCAACCAGATTATTATTATTATTATTATTATCATCATTATTTATAGCATCATACAGAATCAGAAGTGGAATGAGAATGGAAATAGAAATATTGCAATTATTATTAAGAAATAAAACTGGTACTGAATCATAATGTATGTGTTAGTGTATTATAATTATATTATGATAGGTTTACTGGATCAGAATAAATCATTAATAGATATTAAGAGAGAAATAGCTGAACTACAAAAACAGATATCATTAATGAGTGTACATATACTAAAAAAAAGAAAAGAAAATGAAAAATTTAGAGATACATTATTAAGAGGTATGCTAGTGTCATTATTTCATTGACTGATTGAAATTATTCTATTACTGGTATAGTAAATAAACCAACAGCAGAATCTGTTTTTATTGCTCGTTATGACTATCATGCAACAATGAATGATGAAATATCATTCAGTAAGGGAGAGCAGCTAAAGATATATGAAAAGGAAGATAGTTTTTATTGGAAAGGAAGATCCTTGGTGTCTGGTGATGAGGGACTTATTCCTAGTAGTTATGTTTACTCAATGTTGGAGTCACTTCAATTGTTAGAGTTTATACTGTCAGGGGAAGAAGTGTCCCTTCCTATTCTACAGAAGATAAGGAATGATTCATCTAGTAATGATGAGAAA